GCTTTAACGAGTACTTACACCGTATTCGTAAAGCAGCCGCGCCGACGTGCGACCACTGTTCGGATCGCCCGGGAGAGGCTGATAGTGCTTTGCACACTCTCTTCCGGTGCGAGGCGTGGGCCCAGGAACGGGACTCTTTGGAGTCTCGACTAGGGTCCACGTTCCGAGTCGGGTCCATGGTGGACCTGATGTTGAGGATCCCGACTTTTGGGATCCGGCTAACGGGGAGGCCACACCACGTTGTGAATCAGCTCTTGATTAATTTCGGGCTGATTCACAACGTGGTGGTGTGAGTTTTAGAGACGGCGTGGGCCGCCCTGAAGTAATACCTCACGGTAGTTCCANGGTGTGAGTTTTAGAGACGGCGTGGGCCGCCCTGAGGCAATACCTAACGGTAGTTCCGGGGCGGTCCGCATGTAGGCCGGTCGTGTTAAAAAAAAAAAAACAAAAAAGGTTTCATCGTTCTCCCCCACCATTCCATTAGGTTAGTTTACGTTAGATTTAATCCCCCCGTACACTCCCTCCACCACAAGGAAGGTGATTGGGTGAGGCGGGGGGGTTCCAGCTCTCTCTATATTACCCTACTTACATCATTTATGTTTTTTAACTTTTCATTATATTTGTTTAGCTCGTATTCCAAACAACAACAATGACTAAATCCATTAATAATAAATTTGTTAAATATTTATAAGCTCAAAATTGATATACCATGTTCAATGTCCATCGCTCTACGCCGTGTTCTCAACAACACATTAAGTTTTTCCATATAAATAACGTTGGTGGCGGTGGTCGGCGTAGGGATTACTTATTTACAACGGTTATGATTGTATGCGGTAATAAATATTGCGTAAATGTGGCGGCGACGGTGGTGGACGTGTATATTATAAAGAAATTAAACGAGAGTTTTAGGCAGCGGCGGGTCGTGGTCAACAAACACGTAACCGGGTATTTTTCTGCCGGGGCTATAAAAAATGGACATTTGCGTTTAGGGGTGCGGCACATCAAACCTGTGGACTCAACTCGTACTCTTCGCGCGTACCCCCTCTGGAAAATGATTTTTTTTTTTGTTTAAGTAACAATAAACGTTAGGGTGGTCCTTCATCATATAAGAAGAAATTTTTTATTAATATTTTTTACACAGTACCCTCTAGATTGGTTAAATATTATTAAAATGTAATGTAGGTAAAATTTCAAGATAGCCATAATTTAATGTGGTAATTATGAGCAGTAAAGTTATCAAGAAAGAGAGAGTAAGAAAAAATAGTTCATTTATTATAAACGACTTAATTATTCGAAAAAAAATAATATTAATAAATTTTTGATTGGTTCCATGTTTTCACAATTTATCAATCATGAAGTATATTTTATGTTCATCTCTTATACCTTATAAGGGTATCAACTTTATTTTTCAAATAACAACATACATAATTAACTAGCTTATTTAACTCATAATGATCTAATTAAGTCGATAACAATTATTATTGTTATTATACTATAAGGTTTTAACATCTGTAATAACTTTTTATTCAGTGTAGTATCACATTTTAATACATGTAATAATTAATACTTATATTTAATAAAATACATCACCAAATCAGTGTTTCCCCGTGGATAAGATGAGTAATAAAATAATACCCTTACACAAGATTTAACCTCCCTCTTACGCATTCCATAAAATGCCCACGTAAAAGATTCTATCACATTAACCAATCAAATACAGCAAAAATATTTCAAGAATCTCACCAGAGATCGCTAAACCAGTTTTTGCAGGCTATAAAAAGGCCATTTTCCCCCAAATTCGGGTGGTTCCTCTGAATATCCCTCTAGCGAATACTGGGACGCCTTGCAATTCTATCTATACATCTCTACGGCTCTCTGGAATACTCAACCAAGATACAGAAAGCGAATGTGCGTGAGTTTATGTCTTATTCTTAGTTACAATTCTATATGAAATCTACATAATTTTTTACCCTCTTTCGTAATTACTGAAAAATATTATACATCTTATTTTCGGTCGAATACTTTTGGTGACATAAATATTCTAATACATATAAAATATTGGTATTTATTTATTTCTTTTATTTACATTTATATTCCTATATATATATAAGCATATTCTAAGGTAATTAATTTGACTGAATTGTACTTATTACTTATTGAAGGGCCATAACCTGGCTGGACAGGGTAATAGTACAATAATATCATAATTAGAATTTTAGTTAATCATAAGATTTATTCAAAGTGTCTCTCCACTTATCGACCAGCTAGTCTGATCTATGCCACAGTGCCGGCAATCGGAGTGTAGGACACTTATATAATTTACAACGCATAAATTATTAATATTATTTTGTAGTATACATTAGATATTCTAAGGTAATTAATTTGATTGAATTGTATTTACTACTTATTGAAGGGCCACAACCTGGCTGGACAGGGTAATAGTACAATAATATCATAATTAGAATTTTAGTTAACCATAAGATTTATTCATAGTGTCTCTCCACTTATCGACTAGCTAGTCTGATCTCTGCCACGGTGCGGGCAATCGGAGTGTAGGACACTAACATAACTTATCGTGCATAAATCTATAGTACAGTCGCATCTAACCTAGGTCGTCCTACAGGTGATTGAAAAGAAGTAGGCCACATATCATAAGGTTCTTTGCATAAAGACAAAGATATTATTTGAGATCTCGCGTTGGTACATCCAGCTACGAAATACAAATAAATCAGAGTCGAAATATTATACTAAAAACTAATATTTTACTAATATATATTTATAACTAACATCATACTAAACAACTAAAAGTGTCTCTCCACTTATCGACCAGCTAGTCTGATCTATGCCACAGTGCCGGTGATCGGAGTGTAGGACACTAGTATAATCTATTGTGCAAAGAACTGAAATTGAGCTCGCATCTACCCTAGATCACCATTTGGACGACTGAAAAGACGTAGGCCACTTGGAAATAGTTTTGTTGCACAGGACAGTTATGTTGCTTAGAAGTTATTCATTTGCTTTATAAATTATTAAATAATAAATATATTAACGTAAAACATCATATACAAGGTTAAGAACTATACTACATAAATATACAAAAGGTTTTTGCAAAAAGACAGAGTTATAACAAACTTAGATTTCACCTTGGGTAGATTTAATATAGAATTGTACTAGAAAAGTAGTTACACGCGAGTTAATAATAATATAAACCGTATAAATATAATTGCGTACATTAATGCGTGAACGTATACATCGATAATTGTTACATCAACAACATCGTTCATCTCAAGAGAATATCAGGATAATCAGAGGTAAGTGGAACATTTGTTTACATAATAAGTCTATAATAGATCCTTTACTGAAGAATTTTTTAGTAATAAACAATTAGAATAGGATAAGTCATTAAGAATAAACTGAAATATTTTTATAAAAGGCACGATATTTGTGAATCGCCGGGAATTTGTGTGCGCGTTTCTGTGCAGGAGCTAGGTAGTGACCCTTCTTTGTAATTCCATCTTATTCATACATTAGACGTTTTTACACAAGCATACATACCCCGAGATCCCTTTCTATTTCATTTTATTGTAGTCACTACCGGGTATCTATAGACACTTTTGCTTTCCATTGGTACCCATCCTTTTTACACTACGCCTGCTACGATTATTATTTCCTTATTGGCCACCTGTGTTACATTTCAATACATTCCTTCCCTTTCACACCCCGAGCCCCAAACACATTTAACAACATTCCTTCGCCACCTTATTATAGCCATTTTATTTATTACAAGACTACATACCTACACTCACTCGTTTCTCCTGAGTCTCTTTTTGTTTATTACATCAGAAAATATTTTGCGTTACTTTTTTTTTTTCATATTTTTACAGTTTTACACTAAAAGCATATCATCATTACGTATATCTAATAAAATTAAAACTTTTTAATTTTTAATTTAATTGAAATTTTGAAATAACCATTTTTATGCCTTTTTCTTAGCAAAAAAATTTAATGAGTCGATAACAATTTTAGGATAAGTACTTATTGAGTTATAAGCATTTTAATATATAGTGAATATGTAGGACGACGGAGTGCACAATGTGCAATGCACATACACCAGTACGAGGTGTACCCATTTTAAATACATACTTAATTGTGTTACTTACCATATTAGAGTTTTTTGTAAGTTCCAATATTTCGCTTAAAATGGTCCAATATCACATAAATATGTATATTAGGGTGGTCCTTATTTTTCAAACTCAATTTTTTTAAGACAGTACCCTCTAGATTGGTTAAATACTATTAAAATGTAATGTAGGTAAAATTTGGAAGTTTTTATTCAATCCCTTCTGGTGCCGCATTAGGGTTGAAATATGGCACTTGATGGTTGTTTTTGCTTTTTTTGTGTTTAACTCGATAAATATTACACTTAGCACTAAAATAAATAGAGTATTAGTTATAGAACTTATTATTTCCTACAAAAAAGGTTATAACAATATTTTTCATAAATTCATTATATTTTGAGAAAATTACTTAACATAAAAATTTTTCAAAATTTAACATAAATATATTTTTTTAAATATTTTAATATTTTTACTGAGTGGTTGAAATTTCATCGAATTTTTCCTTTAAAATTAGTTTTAGTAATATTTCCTAAAAAAACTCATATTATATTTCACGTTAGTGCAATTATATATTGATGTATTAGAATTTATAGCGCAAAAATCAAATATCAGTTTACCTGTACTGTTCTAAATGCTATACTTATTATTTTGAACGTGTGGAATTTACTGTGATTATCCATAGAAGATAAGAATTGTGGCATTATTGTTGTTTGTGTAATAATAGGTAACGATAAAAGTTCTTACCAATAATCATTTTTCATGGACTAATATCAGATATTTTCTTGTAATTTAGTTTTTTGCTTATTATTGTGTCAAGTTTTAAGATTTGTTAAAATATTAGTTTAGTGATACAGTTTTTTTGAAATTTTATTTTATTTAAATATGTCACGTAACCAAGTGTATTTAGTAGGAGCAATGAATTATCAAATTACTGGAAGTAAATTACCTTCAGTTAAAAATGTTTTGAGTGTATTGTATTATAATTTAAGATTTGTAAAATTGAATTTGCATGAAAGTGCGGCGCTTGCTGTTNATTTAAGATTTGTAAAATTGAATTTGCATGAAAGTGCGGCGCTTGTTGTTAACGAGTGTCTAATTTACTGGAAAAAAGCTCGAATACATACGCAAGATCCAGCTAATATTATAAGAAAATTAAAAAAGTTTTACGATGAACTGAGAAATTTAGAGAAAAATAAAACCAGGACCAGCGACTTATACAAGAAAAGAGAACAAAATTTTGTAGACCAAATCGAAGAATTGTTTGATATAGCTCATGCTAATGCAATCAGTCTAATGAAGATCCAGGAAGATATTGATTTTTTGCGACTTCAACGAACTAAGGGACGTCCCGGATGTATGATGGGAGTAGATATGAATTTAACCCAAGCAGAAAAAAAAATGCAAATAAGACAAGAACAGAAAAATAAAATACTTATACCTCACTCAGATACAGAAACTTTATTAGAAGGTAATTTTTAAAAATAATGAATGTTTAATAAACATTGTTTATTATATTTTTAATAATTATATATGATTTAATTTAGAAAAATATTCATGTACTTCATCGGATTCATGTGATATGGAAATCGTAAGTGAAGAAGAGAGACAATTTTCACCAGTAGCAGGTCCGTCAAAAAATAAAAGAGGTAGAAAAGAACTTTTAACTTCTAGATTATCTGCCATTCTTGATAGGTGTAAAATAAGTGTTAGGGATGCTGTTCATTTGTTAACTGCATGTTTGGATGCCTTATCATTAGATCCCAGCATATATGTTTTAAACCGATCGTCAATTAAAAGGTCCCGTGAACATTATAGACAAAAAATTGCAGAAAATATTAGTTCTAAATTTCATGAACAAAATTTGAATTTTGTTGTGATCCATTGGGATTCAAAAATACTTCTAAACCTTACAGGGAAAAAAAAGTCGATGGTCTCCCTATTATTGCAACCGCCTTAAATTTTGAACAGCTTCTTGGAGTCCCTTATAGACCCTCTGGGAAAGGTTTAGAAGTATCATCAGCTGTCTATGACGCTTTAGTCAAATGGTCACTATTGGAAAAAGTACAGGCTTTCACATTTGATACTACGGCCTCTAATACGGGAAGGTTGAATGGGGCGTGTTTTTTGTTAGAGCAACGTCTTGGAAGAGAAATTTTATTCTTAGCATGCCGACACCATATTTATGAACTTGTTTTACAAGGCGTATTTTCAGATACCAAATTATGTCCTTCAACCGGACCAGAAATATTATTATTCAAGAGGTTTCAACAAGAATGGGAAACAATTGATAAAACAAAATTCTCTACATCAATTTCTGATACTTATGTTCATAATATTTTAAAAGATGAAGCCGATGAAATTATTTTATATGCAAAAAGTAAAATTACTGAATATCTCCCCCGAGATGATTATCAAGAGTTTTTAGAACTTGTTATTATATTTTTGGGCAGTGTTCCTCAAAGGGGAAATGCTTTTCGAAAACCGGGTCCTTATCATTTAGCCAGATGATGGCTAAAGCAATATATGAGGTATGACAATAAAATAACGAGACTTTTTTAATAAAAGTTATTTATTTTAAAAATTTTACAATTTAATGATTGTCACCTTCAAAGTACCTTCCCTCAGAATCAACACACTGTTGCATACGTCACTGCCATTCTTGAAACAATATTGCCAATCGCTTTCAGTTAGCCCTTTTAGAAGTTCTGCCGTTTTCATTTTTACGTCATCAAACGTTTGAAAATGGGTTCCTTTAAAAAACTTTTAATTTTTGGGAATAAGAAGAAGTCACAAGGAGCAAAGTCTGGCGAGTACGTAGGATATTGAAGTATAGAAATATTTTTTTCAGTTAAAAAACTTTGAATTGAAAATGCACTGTGAGCTGGAGTATTGTCTTGGTGAAGGACCCAGCCATTCTTCCACAGATCTGGTCGCTTTTTTCTAACACGTTCTCTTAATTTAATTAATACATATTTATAATAATATTGGTTGACAGTTTGCCCATTAGGAACCCATTCAACAAAAATTATTCCCTTAATGTCAAAGAAAACAATGAGCATTGCTTTGAATTTCGACTTGCTCATTCGTGCTTTCTTCATTCTTGGGGAAGTTGATGTCTTCCAATGCATAGATTGCCTTTTAGTTTCAGGATCATATGTAAAAATNTTTGCCTTTTAGTTTCAGGATCATATGTAAAAATTCACGTTTCATCACACGTAATGATATTATTTATAAAATATGGATCATCTTTGATAATTTTTAAGGTGTCAGAACAAATTTCTTTGCGATTGAATTTTTGATCAATCGTCAAATTTTTAGGGACCATTTTAGCACACAATTTTTTCATATTTAAATTTTCAACTAAAATTTTACGAACACTATCTCTATTAATATTTACCATCTCTGCTACAGCTCTAACATTTAATTGACGACCTTGCCGAATAATTTTGTCAATTTTTTTGACTTTTTCGTTTGTTGAACATGTGGTACGACTTCCAGAATGATCATCGTCTTCCACGTCCTCTCTTCCATTGTAAAACCGTTTGTGCCATTAAAAAACGTGAGCTCTTGATAAACATTCTTCACCATAAACTTCACATAACATACGAAATGATTCTGCGGCAGTTTTTTTTAATTTAACAAGAAATTTAATGTTAACACGTTGTTCGATTTTTATATCGAACATTTTTCGGCAGTATAGTCGAATTTGCACTAATAACAAGGTTACTAACGTATAAGAAAGTTAACCGATTTCAACATTATTTATAGTACTTTTAGATAAGTGTTTCTTAATCATAATTCAATAATAGTTTTATAGATAACGTTAATAGTTTAGGATATATTTAGAAAGTCTCGTTATTTTATTGTCACACCTATTGTTTAAAAATCAATTTAAACTAGACAGCAGAGAAGAAACATCATTAAAGGATATTTGTTGTTTTATTGTAAAATGTTACGTTAAAGCTTGGTTTTCCTCTCCAAAAGCTATAGAAGCTCCTTTTAATGACATATTATTTCTTAGAAAATTAGAATCTTATAAACTACAAAATAAAAAAATCGCAGACGTGGCATTAAAAAAAATAACTAATCATTTTTGGTATTTAAATCCAAAATGTATTACTTTTTCCTTATTGTACAACCGTATAGACTATAATACAAAACGCAAAATGGCTGAAAAAATTCTAAGTTATAATGATGATGATGATGAAGAAACTAATCTGAATAAAAAGTTAACTCTTACACCAGACGATGTCCCCAATTTTCTTCAAAAAGACCTACCAACTGATTTAATAACTTCCAAATCAATTGAAATGTTTAAGCGGTTTAAAATTCAAACAAATTTTTTAAGCATTGATCCAGCTTATTGGAATTATCAGGAAGACTTCAAAACAGGTAGAGAAATAATCAAATCATTGAAAATAGTTAACGACACAGCTGAGAGAAGAGTCAAGCTAATGGAAGAATATAATGATAAATTTACTAAAGACGAAGAACAAAACAATTTTTATTGCAGGTAAATTTAACAATTTTTATTTTTAACTTAACTTAATTATATCGCTTAAATTTTTAGACCGTCTAAGATTATCAAAAAAAATATCCAAAATGTGATAGAGAAACATTAAAAAAAATATATTAAGAGAAAAATACTAGTTCCATGTAGATAAATGTGCTATGAATTTTGTAATAATTATGTGTTGATAGAATGGATTATACATTTTTTTTTATTTAATCTTAGTCAATATTCATGAAATTATTATATAGTTATTTTATACAATTTTTTACTTAGCTTTTTTTTAGCTTCGATGGCGAAGCTGAGAAGGTATTGGTTTTACTAAGATGTGTTTTTTTTTTTTTTTTTTTTTTTT